CATTAAAATATCAATTAGTTGTCAAATTTTAACAATACAGAAAAGAAAACTGTCAGTTACTACAGAATTTTATTTATAAAATATTAATAAATGGGGCGACTAGTTTCGGCCACTTTGGGCCTTCATCAGCGATTAATTTTACCTAGTGTTTTACTAATGAAGGGTAGTAGTTAAAGGTTCAAGCTTAACTTTTGAAAATCCTTTTTCTTAGCAGAATTTATTCGATATAGTAGTGAAATTAATAAATATGAATGATAAAAAATTCTTTTTTAAAAGTAAAATTAAACAATTGTTCCTTGGTCAGTAAGTATAGTCGTGTTTAAAGGAAGAATGTGTGTGAGAAGGTCAGGGCCGCCGAGATACAGGTCGGGCGCCGGGACAATTTTCCAGGTCGGGCCCCGCGACAATTTTTAGGCCCTCTCAATATCACATTTCTAAAAAAAAAAAAGGTCTTCAAGCAAAAATTTCTCCTCTTCAAGGTCCTCCTACAAAAATAAAAACGTCCTCACCCGGGCCCCCCTTATGCCGCTGCCAGGCCCCCACTTGGGCCCGGGCCCCGGGAATTAGTCCCCCCCCCCTCTTGTCAGCCCTGGAGAAGGTGGGAGGGTGAAGGAAAGTGAAAATTGAAGAGTTAAGAGGATATGAAAAAAAAAAAGTGATATAGAATGAGTATAGACGCATAAAATAAAAAATTAAGACACTAGTCTGTACACTGTTATGCGTGCAAAGAAACTCTCGAGGTGCATATCGCTTTTCCGGAAGAACAATGACACAAGTGCAAATTTTTACTTTTTGAGTTGATTATGGTATAATTCCAAAGAAATTTACGTCTCTCCGGTGGAAGAACGAAAACTAAAATTAATTCGCTTTCTTGAAGTCCCCTTCATTATTTCCGAAACCGTTCCTTGGTGTCTCAGTTGTAAGTTTCATATTACATTTTTTTTTATTTGCGATTTTTGTGGAATCATTCATTTTCATTTGCGTCTTGTTCTTCCGGAGAACCGATATAAGATTTAATTTTTCAAGAAAACTAGATTTGTTTTTCTCTTTTAATGCATTTTCTAGTAATTAGTAAATGACAGTTGCTGGTATTTTGATAGTTATTGCTTATTTTATTAGTACATAAGTTTTATTTCAAATTAGGTAACAAAGTTCATTGCTTCTAGATTTAAAAATAAAAAGTTCTATAACATTCGCTCTTTTTTCTTAATAAATCAATAAAAAATGTAATATAATTAAATTAACGAGCTATAACGCCCACTCATTAGATCATAATGATAAAGTTTGTGTTATCCAAGGCATTCATTTTATATCGTCAGGTTTTTCCAGCTGAAAAATTAAGATAGCTTATCCGATAAAACGTGGTTCAAATTTGTTTTCTTTTTGATGTACCAGATGTTTTATTAATATATCTAAAAACCGCTTTGACCGATTTTAATGAAATTTTCACAGTTTATTAACAAACTTTAAGAAGTTGATGCAGTAAATCCAGAGGCGTGGTCACAGGACATTTCGATTAGTTTTTGACACAAAAAATATCGTCCAGTAGATTTTATGAATATTTTTTTTTTTTTAAATAAACTAACTAAAAATACAAATTTTTGTATTTCTTAATTTTTTTTGTATCTTACTTTATTTTCGAGTAAAAAATTAAAACTAACATCAAAAAGAATACAAAATTGGATCATAGGTTATTGGACAAAGTACCTTTATTTTTCTTTTGATTTATGATATTTTTAAATTTCAACCCTCCTTAACTCCCCATTTGTATTCATAGGCTATCTAAATACAATGGTAAGAACTGGATGGTTGTTTGGAATGTTGGATCAAGATAGGCATGTTAGTATAATAAAAAAAGTTAAATATAAAAAAATATTATAAACTGGAAATTAATTATAACAATATTTCTAATTTAATTAAAAAGTAGATCCACTTAGATAAATTAATTAAAGTATTTTCTATTTATCAAAATACACATTTAAATTATTATATATGTCAGTTAAATCGCAAATTGTGACACATCAAAGTAATTTGAATCTCATTCGTTGTAAACAACTGTAACCAACCATCCATGTACAGGGTGCGTCTTCGATGATTCAATTTTCCTTTTAGTACGAGATTATACTGCATGATTTATACGTTATTTTATCGAAATATGATTTTAATTAAAGATTACATTTTGAAATTTACTTAAAACAAAGATATAAGTGACTAAAATAATTTGAAACTTTGGTGACAAATTTCAAAAATCCCCGAACCCCAAAGGTGAATATACATAAATGGAGATTTAAAAAAAAAGCCTGTCGTCGCTGGGATCTGACATCTTTGTACACAAATGCCAAACAGTCTGTTCGCTATACTTAGGCGGGTTTCGGATTAACAAAATTATGCAAATTAGTTATTGACAACCAGTTCCAATAAGCCTCTTCCCAAGAAATTAGGTAAAATTGCCCTAATGGTCAGATTTAAATTAAAATAACATTAGGGTAGGTACTAAATTTGTTACAAATATTGCAGTTCAATTGATTCTTTGCAAGTGTTGACATTGTATGTATATTGTAAATTTAGTGGAAATTTTAAAAATGCCTAGACGTATGTTAGATGTAGATAGTATAATTTTTAGTGTACATAAGTATTTTACGGATGAAAAAGAAAATGGCGGTCCTTTAAAATCGGTAATGTCTGTACAACAACGCGTATGCGATGCTCTAGGAATTAGTGAAACCAAATTGAAATTCGTGATACCATTTATCGAATGAGGGCCAACAAGGAACATGTGACCTTAAATATAATTCTCTCGGAATTAATAGATAGAAAATTTGACGACATTGGCAGAATAAGTCTATGGCAAGTGATACATAACTTGGGTTTCAAATTTCAAAAGGAGGATAACAGAAAGGCCCTTTGTGAAAGAAGTTCTGTCGTGCACAAGATAATTAACTTTCTAAGAAAATATTCTAAATTTAAAGAAGAAGGGGCGAATTTTATATATTTAGACGAAACATGGATATTTTCTAGGGGTGCAACCAAGAGAATATGGCAAGATGATAACGTAAAGTCCATCAAACATACCGATGGAGAAGGGAAGCGACACATAATTTGGAGGGAGGGAAATCAGGTTTTATAGAAGGTGCTGATTTAATATTTTCATCTAAATCAAAATCCAGTGACTATCACGATAATATGAACACAGAAATGTTTGTAAAATGGTTGCATGAAAAACTTCTCCCAGGTTTAAGTGAGCCCAGCGTATTTTAGACAACGCACGTTACCATTCTGAAGTATTAAACAAAAGTCCAACGAATTCTTGGACTGTTGATAAAATTAAAGAATGGTTGACATAGGAACATACGATTTCCTCAATATATATTAAAATCAGATTTATTACGCTTGGCAAATATACACGCAAAACCAAAAACCTTTGTTGTGGATCAGATTATTGAAAGTTACGGTCATCAAGTTTTACGTCTGCCACCGTATCATTGCCAGTTTAATCCCATCGAATATATGGGGAATAGCAAAACAATATTATGACAACCATATTGGGCCTAATGGTTATAGTGACGACGCAGTTCGGGAAACTTGGCGAAAAGCACTTTCAATTGCAACTCCAGAAGTGTAGCGGAACTGTATATCCAAGTGCGAGAAACTAATAGAAGATTGGTGAACTCGTGAAAATAAAATAAAGGAAATAAGTCCAATCATAATAACAATTAATGGTGATGACAGTGATGATGATGATGACGATTATGATATTTTGGATGATAATGACTGATTTTCATTTTTGTTGGCAAGTTCAATTTTTTTATTTTTCATTTGAAATTCTCTACATGGAACAAATTTTTATGTTAGAAAATATTTTAATTGAGCTAAATAACTCTCTTATTATACATAGACCATATTTTCTGTGTGCAGTGTAATATAAAATTATTATTAGGTTTATAATAGCCACATTAGACTCCATTAATGAAGAAGTTTAATTCTGCTCTCAATTATACAAAATATTCTCCAATTATTATTTAATTAAAAAGTTGTACATTATTTTTCATTTCATTTAACCAGTTGATATTTCCCCAAAGAACAGGTCAAACTTTCGGGTACTAACCTGGAAATACTCATACAATTTTTAATCCGAAACCCGCGTAAGTATATCGAACAGACTGTACCTCTAAACCATCACGACATTGAAGCCGGCCGCACATTGAGACGCAGGTGACACAGGCAACGCAGGGCAGAGCGGTGCATGTTTCTGTATTCAGTATAATTTAATAGCACCACGCGAATTGGAAAGCAGAGTAGGGTAGCACAGAGCTGCGTTTAAGTAAACCTGTAGGACACAGTTTCCTGCGCCACGTGCATAGTAGTTTTTGTTTTGCGATACATTTTTTGAGGTTATATTCGAAATGGATGAAAAATTAATTGAATTGGTGAGAAGGCATACAATTCTTTATGATATCAACGATCCCAAAACCAAAATTAAAGGATGAATTATGGAATGATATAGGAAAAGAACTTAATTTAAAAGGCGGTAAGTTAAACGAATATTTAAGCTAGAGAATGGCCGGCCGAGTTTAGCGTTTGATGTTTCGCCATGATGTACGATCCTCCATTTTATAGCTATTCGCTATGCTTCTATAGCTATCTCCAGAAGCCAAATATTTGCAAAAAGTTACATCTATGTAACTACTGTTCAAACATACCTACCACATAATTTGCTTTTTTTAGGTTTGTTTTTCGTTTTTTATTTGTTTTTCGTTTTTTATTTGTTTTTTTTTTTCGATGAAACTTTTTCTGCACATGCTAGTGCATTAGTCTTTTATTCCCTTTACGCCTAAATTTCATTTATGTTAAAAAAAAACATCGAACGCATTATTTCCAGTATACCTAACTAGTCAAAATTAAAACTTTACACTGTGGCTAAAGTTCATAAAAGCGGGGCTCCTGCTGTTAACAAAAAACAATGGAAATATCAAAAACAAATGCAGTTTTTGTTTCCATATATGTCAAACAGACCACGTAAAGGTAACTTAGAGGAACATAGTGAAGATGAAGATACACAACAAGTAGTTGATCCAGAAACTGAAACTTCTGAGAATGAAGACATAACAAACGACGTTCGACATGATTACGAGGAAATTGAGAATGTGAATAATCACGTGGTTGATGAGCCGTCTACGTCTGGTATGCAGAAAAATAAAGCGAAAGGAAATGCCAAACGTAAAGTATCTATAACTGAAGACCGGTCAACCACAACCACATCTGTGTCTAAAAATAATAAAAATAAAAACGACGATGTGCAGGAAATAATAAAAAAAATCAATAATTCAACGTCAAAAAAGAGCCGACGAAAGAGCAGTTGAAATAACAACACAGCAGCCTTTGGATGATGATCCTTATCAATTTTATGTCTATGTATCAGATAACAAAAAAAGTTTCAACATCCAGCAAGAACTAATGTGTTTCAAACTGTAGCGCAAGTAGAAGCTGCATATCTAGAAAACCAGAACCAGAGTCAACAAAACTATTGTACTGAACAAAGAACTCTTCCATATACATATGTTAAAACGCATACTCCGCAGCCCCAATCATCATATTCGTCAGCAACTCTTCCTTCACCAAGCCCAAGCTGTCATCGTAGCCAGCATATAGGACATCACAATTATAGTAATCTTCGAACACCTCTTTCTCCTCTTACCAAAAACTTCTATTTAACCATTTTAACAATACCTCTTCCTTTACCTTCGAATACCTACGACTTACAATCTAGAAGCAATTTACCTACTACACTCACCCAAAGCTCTTACTTGTATGCTGCAACAACAACTTTTCAAGCCGATAATACCGGTGATGTACGAAATTTTTTAGAAAAAATTTCAGTATAGGATACTGATTATTTAAATGAACATTTTTACTGTTTCATTAAACGTTAAATTAATAAAAATATTACCTTAAACAAACAGATATTTTTTATTTGGTTCCGATTGGTTTTTGTGCGTTACAACTATTTGAGTAAATACATTTTCTATCATATTATATTCTTCATCAGAGTGCTCTCTGCTTAACCGAAAATTATTTGAAAAAACAGGTTCAGAAAATTCGGACGATAGTGCAAATTCCCCGTATTTCATTTTTTCATATAGTTGCTTTTCCAAAATGATTTTTTTGTTCTTTGACAGGTTGTATAATAGAACTAGTTCTTCACATTCTGCGTCCGACTCTGACTCGGAACTGTCCAAAAACAACGCCATCATCCAAATAAAAAAAGCTCTTTCTATGTCCAAATAATATTATTTGCTTATCGCACTTGCACGACAAAACAAGAATTGCCAGAGCTGCTTTCAAATATGCGTGATACGTATTTTTTCCTGAACTGTGTAACCTACCCTGCACTCTATCGCCTGCATCCCTGCATCTCAATGTGCGGCTTACTTGAGTGTCGAGATTCCTAGACGGCAGTTTGATGTGCTAATTCGGGCCAACGCCGTTTCAGGCTCGTTCTCAAATCGACAAATACCTCCTATACAGCATCGGTGTATATGTTACGGTTAAAGTGTTTACTTGGCTAGTTTATAGACTAGCTGGATAGTATACAAACTATCCAAATGTCCTGCTATTTTGATGGAAAATCATATTTCTACTAAAATAGCTATGAATATTGGTTGGTTTGTATACTAACCAGCTAGTTTACAAACTAGATACAATATTTATCGCCATAGTACAAACCACAAGAAAAGTACACAAATTAACCGACATTTTTGGCTAGTTTACAAACTATCCACAGTATTTGGATAAAGTGTGAATTAAATATTCGTAGTAATACATAATAACCAGCTCGTCGGTTAGTATGTAAACTAACCAATTCTCTTCGGTTAATTTATTAGAAAAGTGAGGTTATAGTTATGGCAAGTGTGTGTTATTATTGTTTACTACTGTGGTGCCTTGTGAAATTTGTTTAAAAAGAGGTAATTAAAAATTAATCAACAGCAACAATTTGAAAACCTACTTTTGGAAGTTTACGAACAAAAGTCGCAAAATTCAAAAAATTTAATGAATGACAGTGATTAAAGTGAACTTTTGCAATGTATAAAAAGAATACGCGAAACTGGTCCTAACACGAGTAACAAAAATTATTATTACGTGTTAAATACTTATGATAAATCTGAAAAGATTATTTTACGTTTGAGTGAATGTTATGATGCCATTAAAGCTACCCATCAGGGAACTGGGCATGGAGGTCGTCAGGCAATAACATAATTATTAAATAAAAAGTATTATAACAACACAGGAAACGGTTAAATTATTTATTGAAACTTGCGAAACATGTCAGCTCAAACAGAACAAAACTAGGAAAGGTATTGTGGTGAAACCAATTGTTTCAAATCATTTAAAGGCTCGGCGCCAAATCTGTCTCATTGACTTACATACTAGACCGGATGGTGACTTCAAGTTTATTTTTGTCTATCAAGACCACCTAACCAAATAAGTCAGGTTGAGAGAACAAAGAAGGCTAAAGAAGTAGCTGAACACCTATTAGAAGTATTTGCAGACCTAGGGAGCCCTTACGTGTTTTAGAGTGACAACGGCCAAAAATTTGCAAATGAGGTTGGTGTTTTTCCAATATGTAGGTATAGAGTGGCCAAAAAACAAATAAAATTTAATCTAAATTCCTAGACTGAAATTATTTAAACAATCAATAATCTTTATTTAAATATATGAATGAAGTACCCAAGGCAAAATCGAATAGGTGGTTCAATGGATAAATGTTCACTTGCCATGCGGTCAGTCCAAGTATTTTTTAAGTTAAATTAGGTGCCAATATATTTATTTTTTCCAACAAAAATAATAATAATAATTTTTGTTACTCGTGTTAGGTCCAGTTTCGCGTATTCTTTTTATACATTGCAAAAGTTCACTTTAATCACTGTCATTCATTAATTTTTTTGAATTTTGCGACTTTTGTTCGTAAACTTCCAAAAGTAGGTTTTCAAATTGTTGCTGTTGATTAATTTTTAATAACCTCTTTTTAAACAAATTTCACAAGGCACCACAGTAGTAAACAAATATAAAACACACTTGCCATAACTATAACCTCACTTTTCTAATAAATTAACCGAAGAGAATTGGTTAGTTTACATACTAACCGACGAGCTGGTTATTATGTATTACTACGAATATTTAGTTCACACTTTATCCAAATACTGTGGATAGTTTGTAAACTAGCCAAAAATGTCGGTTAATTTGTGTAATTTTCTTGTGGTTTGTACTTTGGCGAGAAATATTGTATAGTTTGTAAACTAGCTGGTTAGTATACAAATCAACCAATATTCATAGCTATTTTAGTAGAAATATGATTTTCCATCAAAATAGCAGGACATTTGGATAGTTTGTATACTATCCAGCTAGTCTATAAACTAGCCAAGTAAACACTTTAACCGTAACATATATAAGAAATGCATTGATGTATACTGAGCCCATATCTTCGTCTGTGTAAGTTAAGTTGTATGTTAAGAGAGGTAAACCAGTGTATGAAATTGTAAATTTAGTATCGAAAAAACGCAAATCCAAATCCGAAAAATCAGTATATCTGAAAAATAAGTGGCTGAAATATTTTGAAAATTCGAAAATAAATTTCAAAAATTCCCCTACGAATTATTATGACCATCCCCTAACCCCAAAAATGAAAAAAAAAATACTTCGAGATTTGAAAAAAAGCCTGTCTTCGGTGGGATTCGAACCCAGATATCTTCGTTCTGTACACAAATGGCCTAGCTCTAGACCATCACGACATTGTCGAGATTCCTAGACGGCAGTTTGATGAGCTAATTCGGTCCCGTGTAGATGTGGTAGTCTTCTGATTGGAGGCAATCTAAATAAATATTCAATCAATAGGGCACAGCCCAGTAGAAAAAATGTTTGCTAAATTCAACTCATACTTGTGCAATAGTGTTTTAAAATAAGTAGAGTTAATAAATATGGTGATAGATGTAGGCCAGGCGCTGATAAAAAAGTATCAGTACAGTAGAATTTTCTTTTTACTCTTTCAGGGAGTCTCTTTCGAATGTGTTGGTTAAGAGTTGTGTCAGAAGCTCTGAAATATCTAGAACTTCTATTGAATTGACAAAAAAAGTGAGAAAATCGGTTGAAAACCGAAACTGAAATGAAATTTTGGAAATATGAAATTAAAAAATCCTCAATTCCCTTCACAAAATTATGAAAAATACACCCTCATATCTCCAAAGTGAATTCCCCTATTGAATTCTCTAATGTACGAGGAACAGTATTTCAGTCCCTGCTCGAGTCCCAACTGTATATTCTATAGTTGCGATATGTCTTTTCACCCAAAGTTTTATTTTTTAATGTATCAATTACGATAAAGAGGTTACATTTATCGTGAAAATATTAAAAAAAAAGTAAACAACTTAAAATAAAATAGAAATATTTGTTCTTAGTCTTAAATACCCTGTATATCAATCTGGTATGTTAATCAAACGTACAGTCTATGTGTGGCAGTGTAATCAATACATAAATTTCACTGTTTTTAACATTAACGTCTGGCATAATGTTTATTGATAAATCCTCCATGACATTAAAAACGTATAAAATTTAATTAAAAAAAAAATTTACTGATATTCTTATGCGATGATTTACATACAGGGTGTCTCATTAAGAATGTGACACAAAACAATTGAAGATTCCATGATTAAAAATAAGACGACTAAACGAAACATGTTTAGATAAAATATTGCTGGTTTCCGAAATACGTTTAAGTTAAAAACTCAAAAATAATTAATGGCTCTGTTTTATTTCTTAAGTAAACTTTGCCAGTGGCGTACGGCATAAATAAGTAACACCTTAATCACGTCTAAATGTTGCGCCTCTGTCCAAATACTTATTTGGACCATACAATTACATTTTTTTTTTTATAATAATTCATATACTTTTGTTGGGAACTCATAAAGTGATTGGTTTTCGAGATATTCACTCATTTTAATTTATTTTTAATTTTGTAATTTTGGATTTTTTTGTAAAATTATACTGAGCACGTTCATCCCTTTTATATGTTACGCCACTCTCCAAAAACGTATACGCCACTCTCCAAAAACTTATTCGGACTATAATTTTGAATTTTTTGATGTTTTTTAGGTAAATCATGTACTCATGTTGAAAATTTATAAAAAAATCAAAAATACGTGTGGCACTCGGGGACTGCTGCGGTAAAGCTATTGCATAGCATTTTTTATCAACTTATGCAATTATAATTATTAATTTTATTTATGCAGTATTTTTTTCTTTGATATTAATTCAAGTTACACTTTTTGAGCGTGGTGACCGATAAGAAAACAATTTTTTCTTTTATTGA